AAAGAAAAGCAATAAAATCCTTTAAATTAAGGTCCAGGTACAGATTTTTTTTTTTTTTTGAGATTTTACTTACTCTTGCAGAACTTAAACTCAAGATCCTCTTGCCTTGAGCCTCCTGCGTGCTGAGATTACAAGCATCCATCACCACACCTGGTTATGAATACTATCTTTAGGAAAGGTGTGGGGGAGTTTGAGACAGGGTCTTACTATGCAGCCATGGCTGTCCTGGAACTTGCTATGTAGACTAGGCTGGCCTGAAACTCACAGAGATCTGCCTGCCTCTATCACCCAAGGTGATGATGTTAATTTAAAGGTGTGCTCATCACACCTGGCTCAATACTATTCTTTTAGTTGTAATTTAAGTGTATACCTAATGGAATATAGTATATACATAAACTTTTATAAATATGGGGAAATCAAAAATAGACTCATTTCATTATGATGTTGACTTTATTGCAGTGATCTGGAACAGAAACCAGTTATTGCCAAGGGATATGTATAACTGCTTAGAGTCAGTTCTTGGCTAGGCATGATGGCAGCCCACATAGTCCTAGCTACTAACAGGCTGAGACAGAAGGACTGTTTGACTGAGCTCAGGGTTTCAGACAGCTTGTACATAATAGTGAGACTCCAGCTTAACAAAACCCCCAAACCCCAAATGAAAACATTACTTCCTCCCCGATGGCATGGTGGCATGTATCTGTAATCCCAGAACTTGGGAAGTCTAAGCAGGAAAATCAGGAGTTCTAGGTCATCCACGGCTAGTGAGTCTGATATAACAGGAGACTTTATCAGGAAAAAAAAAATCCAAAAAGTTAGGGCTGTTCACTCAACAGACACTGAGTATGTGGTACATGTTTTCCAACCCAAACTATCTTGCCTGCCTATTTATTTAAGACACAATTTAAAATGGGTGACAATTCTTTTTCTTCCTTTTTTTTTTAAAGAAAGAAAAAGGGCTGAGCGTGGTGGTGCACGCCTTTAATCCCAGCACTCAGGAGGCAGAGGCAGGCGGCTCTCTCTGAATTCAAGGCCAGTTTGGTCTACATAGTGAGTTCCAGGACAGCTGGGGCTACAGGGAGACCCTGTCTCAAAAAGACCAAAAAAAAAGGAAGAAAGAAAAGCTTATTGGGCATATTGCAAAGAAGTAGCAGGTTGGGAATTAACTAGAGTTCTACCTGCAGCCACAATGTATATTGCAATATACAAAATATTGTAATGGGAGAAATTAAGCAAGTAATATTTATGAACATTGATAAATTTTAGTCAACTCTTCTAATATATGTAGCTAAACCTTCTGCCATACATCTTGTAAAGAGATGTCATTGGTGATAAAGTGGCTTAACCAGTGCTAAAGAAGAAAATGACCAACTCGCCCACCCACATTGTATTCTGAATCTCATATTCACTACCATTGACCAGGATGCCCAAATTTATTATAGCACTTAACTTAGGGATTCTGAGACAAAATCCAGACTCAAAGAGCCATGACAGGATAACAATGGTATGCTCATCCGTGGCAAACCAAGTAAAATACAAGGGAGAAGAGAAAAAAGTAAAGGGACGAACAAAGAAAATGAAAGGTCCCAAGACAATGAGAGCAAAAGGAGAACGTGGGGGTCCGGAGAAGGACCATTCCTCCAGGCTGATAGTTTTTTTTTTTTTTCTTTCCAGTCAGGCTTCTGCCCTGACCGGCTAATCTCTTCTCCACATACACAATTCATAATTTAAAAAATATATTTTATTATTCTTATTTTTATGTGCATGTGTGTATTACCTGCATGTGTTTAAGTGCACCTGTGTTGTGTTGTGCAATGCCCATGGAGGTCAGAAGAGGGCATTGGATCCCCTGGAACTGGAGTTATGGATGGTTGTTAGCCGCCATGTGGGTGCTGGGAATTGAAACCAGGTCCTCTGCAATAGCAACCAAGTGCTCTTAACTTCTGAACCATCTCTCCAGCCCCTCATACTCAATGTTTTATAACCCATTTGCTTCCCCTTAAGGCCTTGTGATGATTTCTGGGTGAACTGTCCATCCTTGTGACCCAAGAAGAGCCTTCTTTCCCAGGATACTTTAAAGTACCTCTGATTGTTCCTTTCTCCTAATTTTTTGTTTTTAATTCCAAGAATATTACATCATTTTACCTTCCAAAAACCTTACTTTAGGCCGGTGTGGTGGTGCATGCCTTTAATCCCAGCACTCAGGGCTCTGGCAGGCAGATCCTCTGTGAGTTCCAGGCCAGCCTGGTCTACAGAGTGAGTTCCAGGCAGATGGAGCTACAGGGAAGACCCTGTCTCAAAAAGACCAAAAAAACAAAAAACCTTACTTTACCCACATGGTCCATCAATGAACACCAATAGCTAATACTTCTTTTTTTTTTTTCTGAGACAGGATCTCCTTGTAGCCCCAGCTGGCCTGATCTCACAGGGATCCCAAGTGCTGGGATTAAAGGGATGCACCACCATGCCTGATTTACCTAGTCCTATTTAAATACAATCACCAACACAAGAACAATTAAGTTCAGAGATTTACGAAACACTTTAAATTGGAATATTCTGGCTTTTTAAATTTTGTCTACTTTACCTGGCTTTTCTTCCTCTCCTTCGGCAAGCTTGCTTTTGGGCGGAGTTTCCCGGGTAGAATTCACAGCTCGACGAATTGGCATGCTGCTGTCTTCTACCTTCTAAGAAAACATGGCCATAATCAAATATGCATGAAAAAGTTCTCTCTTGTCTCTCTCTCTCTCTCAAGGGACCTAACTGGGTGTTAAAAGATGAAGAAGAATTCTTCAAGTCAACTCCAGGATCTGATGCAAATTACTTTTAACAATTTTTGAAGTATGCTTTTAAAGGTGGTCTTTAAAATATTTTACTTTAGATAGAACTTCAAATGGAAACAATTATATGTGATCTGAAATAAATTTAGAAGGTTAAAGTTTTCTCAGGAATTTGAGGGGAAGGGGAAGATGAAAAGAACTTAGTATCTGATTTTTTCAGATGCACAACCAAGTCTCCCCCAAAAAGGGGAAGAAATATGTACCAAGAACCCGGCAAGGCCTGAAGTCAGGGACTGATCCAAGAGTGAGCTTCAAGAATGCGTCAGCCCCTACCTCACCTAACTTGTCCGCGTGGATCAGCTGAGCTCCTACTATAAGTGGGAGTGCCTTAGGATGGACGAGTTCACCTTGAGACGAATCAGTCGCCATTTAAAATAATTTCTAGGCCTGAGTACTGGTTACACTCTGAAGCCTCTGCTGTTAACCACAAGGATTTTTCCTAATGGTTTCAGTGTGGTGAAGAGTCAACCTAAAGTACAGAAAAGACCTGGTGTGAAGATTAACAAAAACAAAACTAAACTAAAACGTCTAAATTTAATTCACATCCAAAGGGAATAAATACAACTATAAAACTTTAAGTGACAGATGACTTAACTATTATTCAAAAAGATCACACTATTAACATACAGACAATGGAAAGCAGTGATCAAGATGAATGCATAAGCCATAGCAGCTGCTGCAACTTCCACATGACGGCAGCAAGGCCAAGAAAGCGCAGAAGGACCCTAACTCCAACCCGCTTGCTATCATCTGGAATTTAGAAAGGAGACTAAGGAAAGACTTAGTCAAAGATCAGTCTACTAAAGAAGGCTCTTATTATTGTTCTCAAAGGGGTCCAGAAAACTGACTGTAATCCTAAGTCTAGCTCCATTAGGGAAGTTATTTTTTTCTCTATTAAAGGGAAAACCCAAGGGCAAAACTACCACTGAGGAACACAATATTCTAAGAGCCTCCAAACCAGAGAAGTAAATTTAGATCATCACCTAGGAAAACAGAAGTATGCTTTGGAGACCTTGTCATAACTATAACGTAAACAAAATGCATTTAGAAGAACACAATGAGTATTTACAGATAAAGCCAGGTATGGTGGCATATGCTTGTAATCCTAGAACTTGGGAGGCAGAGGCAGGAGGATTGGCAGGAGTCCAAAGCCAGCCTGGGATACATACTGAGTTTCAATCCAGTCTGGGCTAAAGAGTATGACCTCTCAACAACACCAAACACAAAATTTATGTAGGCACCCAAATTTACCTGATCATTAACACCCTTCCCCTGTCAAAAAAAAAAAAAAAAAAAGAATCACACTGGTGGGGCTGGGAAGATGGCTTAGTGGGTAAAGTATCATGTAAGGATGAGGACTTGAGTTCAGATCCTTAGCACCCATGTAAAAACTGGGTATGGCAGCACCCATCTGTATGGTGGCACCCATCTGTAATCTCAGCACTGGATGGGTGGAGACAGGCAGATCCCAGCAAGTCTAGTTAGTCTACTCAAAATGGTAAGCTCCAGGTTCAGTGAGACCCTGTCTCCAAAAACAAAGTGGGGAACAACTGAGGAAAACACCAGACTTTGTTCTCTGGTCTTCACATGCACATGAACACACACAACACATACAAATCTAAACTAGGACTTAATGATATTCTATTTAAAAAAATTCCTCCTTTAATCCCAGCACTCGGGAAGCAGAGCAGGCGGATCTCTGTGAGTTCAAGGCCAGCCTGGTCTACAGAGTTCCAGGACAGCTGGGGCTACAGGGAGACCCTGTCTCAAAAAGATCAAATTAAAAAAAACAAAAAAAAAAAACAAAAAAAAACCTCCATAGAGGAGATAGATTTGTATGCCAATGAACAATTAACAAAAAGGCAGGGGAAGATTAAATTAATGCAACTTCTACTTTGCTTAAAGTAGATTTGCTGTTAACTGTTCTTTCTTTTAGAAACTTAAGATCTTTTAACTTGTCAGGTAACAGTCCCAACCTACAACAAATTAAGATACATTTAAAAAAATTCAAACAGAATTGTTTTCACATTTACAGAAAAAAAAATCTATGGGAACAGACAGCAATTCTATACTTGTGACTTGTCAATCAGTTGCAAAGAAAGGCAGTTCAAAGAATGTAGAGAGTATAAGGCTTTTACTAAACTTTGTCAGTCAGGAGTGGTGGCCTATAATCCTAGCACTCTGGGAGGCTGAAACAGGAGGATCAGGAGCTCAAAGTCATCCTCTGCTCTAACCCACTGCCCCTTAGCCCTCCACCCCCCCAAAAAAAACCTAGAGTCTTACTGCCAATATCAAATTAGGAGTAGCTATGAATATTTTAAATTGTCAACCAGTGGAGCCAGGCATGGTGACACATGGCCTTTAGTCCCAGCACTTGGGAGGCAGAGGCAAGCAGATCTCTGTGAGATTGAGGCCAGCTGGCCTAGATAGTGAGCTCCAGGCCAGCTGGGGCTACAGGAAGCCCCTGTCTCCAAAAAAAAAAAAAAAAAAAAAAAAAAAAATCAACAGTTAAAAAAAAAATGCTCATGTTGTAATTCATTTCAAAAAATTATCAACTATAGGGACTGGAGAGATGGCTCAGTGGTTAAGTGCACTGACCGCTCTTGGAGAAGACCCGGGTTTGATTCCCAGCACCTACAGGGCAGCTAAGAACGGTCCTTAACTGCAGTTCTAGAGGAATCCAACACCTTCTAACCTCCAAGGCACTGCATGACACAGTTGCACTTACATACATGCAGGGAATACGCACACATAAAATAAAAATAAATAAAATACTTAAAAAAAATTATCAACTAGAGAAATGAAAAGAGCTGTCTGCTGATCTGTAAAAAGCAGGCCAAGATGGCTCATGGGCATTACTTAGGTTTGTGGAAACAGAAATTCTGTCTTAAGATCTCAATGCATATAACTGATGCACTTATGTACTACCTATTTTTTTTACACGCAAGTACTATGTCGACGTAAAACACCATGACCAGATTATCCTGTGATACTGCTCTTGAATCTATCTTTCCTACTGTGATGGCACCAGTTAGGGGACAATTCTGCTGTCCAACTAGTCAAACTTTCAGAAATCCCTGTCTCTACAAAAATGTTCCCCTCCTCTGTAAACAAAATACTAAAACAAGTGTCTAAACCTTTCAAGTCAACTTTCTATTCAGTAATTACTCAAAATTAAAACAGGTTAAAAAAGCACTGGCTGGCCATGTCAGCACATGCCTTTAATTCTAGCAAGCAAGTTCCAGGCCAGCAGAGCTACATATTGAGACCCTGTCCCAAAAAAACCTAAGTACTATATGCAGGAAACAACTCTTACATCCAAGTGATAAAATCAACTAAAATTAAAATCAGGACAATCTTTCTGGCTGCAGCCAATAGAAAAAAAGAAAAAAAGGAAAAGAAGAGATCCTGTCCTGCAGAAACCTCTTTCACAAGCCTCACCCACTACATTACTCATCACTCCATGTTCTTGGCTGCAAAACTTTCTTTCGGCCTCTCCAAGGTGCTCTACGCATTCCTGCACCCAGGCGTTTGAACTTACTGTCTCAAAGTAAAACATTTTTCCTAGGCCTCTCAGTAAGGTTTCTGTTCAATACTACCCTCTCTTCCTCCCTCCTTCCCTCCCAGCCAAATGCTGTTAAGTTCAATGGAGTGTTAAGCACTACAAGGACCAATTTAATCCACTGCTGCACCTACAAGTATCCAACATATAGTAGGTGCTCTATAATAGATTAGGAATTAAACTGAATGAACAATAACATGACAGTAGTAAGCCCTTATAAAACTCAGAGCCAAGCATGGTACACACCTGTAGTACCAGCTACTCAGAAGGCTAAGGCAGAACTGCTTGAGCCCATGTTCAAAAGCTGCATGGGGCTGGGTGTAGTGGCACACCTTTAGTCCCCAGCACTTGGGGGGCAGAGGCAGGCGGAGCTCTTTGAGTTCAAGACCAGCCTAGTCTACATAGTGAGTTCCAGGCTAGCTGGGACTACAGGGAGACTCTGTCTCAAAAAGACCAAAAAAAAAAAAAAAAAAAAAAGCCCCTTGGACAACATACCAAGACCCCATTTCAAACTCTCTCTTTCATACACACACACACAGAGCCATATAGCTGACCATCAAGATGGCTTGGCAGGTAAAAGCACTGACAACCCTTGTTGGATCCCTGGGATATAGATGGTGGAGGGAGAGAAGACTTTTGAAGGTTGTCCTTTGACCTCCAATCACCATGGTGAGCACCATGCTCTTACACACACTCACACACAAAATGAATATAATAAAAATAAACCCATACAGTTGGGTGTGGTGGTGCACGACTTTAATCTCAGCACTTGGGAGGCAGAGGCAGGCACATCTCTGTTAAGAGTGAGGCCAGCCTGGTCTATGCGGTAAGTTCCAGGCCTGCTCGGGCTACTGGGAGACCCTGTCTCAAAAAAGACACCCCCCCCCAAAAAAAACACCCACAAAACCATCCATAGTTATTTGGGAAAAATATTAAGAAAACATTTGCCTCAGTTCTGAATTTCCTTACTAAAGTTTATGGAATGCTAACCTATAGTATCTTTTTTCTTTTCTAATATAGAGCTAACAGTCATTTCGATGGTTAACTGACACTGCCTCAACATCATCACATACCTAGTAACTAAACAGCACTTCTGAATGGAGGGACTGGGGCAGGGGGAGAGTGAGATAGGGTCTCACCCAGCTCAGGTTGGCCTTCAACTTGCTCTGATACAGAGGATGACCTTGAATTCCTAATCCACTTTCCTAGTGCAGCAATTATAGGTGTCTGTCACTCTAGAAAAAGTTATCTTTTCTACTGGTTCCACTGATTAAAGATTTGGTGCCTAATGAGGCATAGAATGGGAGTTCAACAAATATTTGTTAAAGAATGAAAACTGTTATCTTTTACTTGAGTTCATATGGTATGAATATCAAAAGACATTTTACCTGTGGTTTATGCAGTTTTCTTGTAGTCCTGAGTGTTTCATTTTAGTTTAACGTTAGATCAGTAACACAAAATTACTTTTGACAAGGGTAACACCTAAACTGTTTTGATGTATACAATAAAGTATTTGCAGAAGTTAAAAAAAAAAGTCCACTTCCTCAGGTGTGTTTTATTCCCTTTAGGAAAGAGCAATAGATCTGGGGCTGTAGCTGTGTGAAGCTCTGAATTTGAGGGAGGAGGGGGTGACAGAAAACTAAGTAGTCTAACCAGGTTATTTCAAAGTACTGATATCCTCAATAACCTACATTTTTACAGAAAATTCACCATAAAATACATGTAACTGTACTATACATTCTAATGTCACTAACAGTGTATTAAATACCCCCAGTTGCTCCCAATCTAAAATTGTTTTGTCTTTTACTATATACTCAAGTACAGTGGGCAACTTAAAAGCTGCTTGACTACTGTCAACTTTTTTCTTCCACTTTCACATCTCATTAATCAGCACGCGGTTGTCTACCTTGGCTGGGCACAGATGCCAAAAACTATATAGCTCTCCCTCCTCTTAAAATGATCACTTGCACATCTCTATGTAGGTATTATGCAGTTCTGGGTACCTCCTCTGCCAACGTCCAGTCCTCCATCGCCCAAATTTTAAGCTCAAGACCAGTTAAAAGAAAAAGTGAGGGGCTGGAGAGATGGTTCAGCGGTTAAGAGCGCTAACTGCTCTTGCTGGGGATCTGGGTTCGATCGCCAGCACCCGCACGGCGGCTAACAACTGTCCGTAACTCCAGTTCCAGGGAATCCTACGCCTTCCTCTGACCTCCGCGGGCATTGCAAAACACGGTGGTGCACGTACATACGTGCAGGCCATACACTCATACACGTAAAAACTAAAATATTTTTAAAAAACAAAGAAAAAGTGAGCGATTCCCCCCCCCCAATCCCCCCCCCCCGCCCGCCCCGCTTCTCCAAACAAGCAAAAACCCAATCTTTAAAATGTTACTCCTAAAGCCCGGGTTGAGGCAGAAGGATCTCAGCCAGCGTGGGCCCCTACAGCAACCACCGACTCCAAACCAAAATAAAACCCCCAAACGACCATTTTTAAACAAATCACACTAAACCTGAGAGGGGCATTTAGTTAGCTTTTGAAAGCGAAGAACAGTTTTATACCTAGGCCGGATTAAGCAATCTTCAAAGTATCTTATAAGCGACTTCTGCTTCTTCTGGGCTAACAAAGTGTGCAACCACCTAGTCCCGTCCTTTCACTCTGCCGGTGCCATACTTCCCAGGACTCTCGCCTTCGGCTGCCACGCACAACCGACAGGTTACCGGGCAGCACCTTGGGTAGCGAGGGCCGTTCTGCCCTCGGGAGTTAAACAGACTCGGGGCTGGAGCTGCCCTTGGCCTCCAACCGGCCAGCAGCAACGACAGCGCGACGCGCGACGGCCGAGACTAAGAAATTCTAGGCGCGCGGGAATACGGAAGCGCCAGGTCGTAATGGGAGCGGCGGCAGCAGCGAAGCGCCAGCACGCACGGAGGCCGAGCACGCGGGGAGGAGCAGCGAAGACAAAGGCGCGGGCAGCGAACGGAGGCCGCAGGGCCACGGCGGCGGAAGCGCGGCGGCGGGCGAAGGGTAGCGCAGGGCGGGGACCGTAGCTCGGCGCGGTGACAGCTCCGCTCGGCAGAGACGCGACACCGTGCACCTCAGCCACGCGACCAGCGGCTGCCCGTTCGGCCTCGGCTCCGCGCACTCACCACTGGGAGCTCCATAATGGCGGCGGCGGCGGGGGCGGAGAACCCGGGGGGCGGGCCCGCCGCAGCCAGTCACCGCCGCCGGCATCTTTCGAACCGGCTGGAAGACCGTTGAGAGTAGGTCGAGGGGAGGGCGCGGCGGAAGACGGGCCACGGGCCCCTGGGCATGCGCGAGCCCGTAGCCAATAGGGCGCGGCGCCGCGGGCGACGCATGCGCAGTGGGACGAAGAGGGGCAAGGCCAGGAAAGCGCTGCCCCTCCTCCCCAAGTCCAAACAAAACAAGGGCGGGAGCGCGCGCAGGAGGGCCTCGGAGGAGGCCTGCGAGACTGGGGCAGGGGACTAGGTCGCAGCTGGGACTGGAGAGGGCGCAGCAGCCGCGCCCCGCAGACAAAAGGCAGCACCTCCGGAAGCCCCGCGCCCCGCCCCCTCCGCCAGGGAGCAGCTTCGACTCCCGGGGCCCGCGGCTTCCTCCACACGCGCCCGCAGCCTACGCTCACTCCCCGCGCGCCAGTGCCATCCCGTGTTACCTCTGCGCTCCCGCGACCCGGCGTCCGCGTCCTGCACGGCCTCTTCGCGTCACTGCCGCCGCTCGCCGACTCCGACACCGCTGTCCTCCAGGCCGGGCGCCGAGCTCTGCCGCCCCGCCCCCCTGCCCGCGGCCCCGAGCGCGCGTTCCCGCGCCGG